TGCAGTACTCTGCATCCAAGGACATTGAGAACACAGATGACACTGAATAGCACTCAACACCTGAGCAAATTTTAGTAGGCCAGGGTGGCGGTCAGACGGCAGCCTTAATGCGATCTGCAAACGCTGCTAAATAATCCGTTTCTCCCTGAGACGCCGTTTGTTTGATCACACATTCCATCCTGGACCCGCGATGCGATGAATCGATCAGATGCCTTCGCCACCCCCCCCTTTTAAACTATGAGGAGAGCAAATCCAATACCTCATCCCACTTCCGAGACAGTCCCCTCACACCCGCCATGTTTTCGGTTTTCCTGCCCAGGAAACCTTTTGGGATATGTCTGAGGAAAAAACAAGTTCCGGGGATGGGCTCTAGGGCAATACCAGCTGGCACAATGCAAGGGACTATTTTACCCTAGAATTCACCTTGGCCCTTGGAACGGAGGAGACTTTTAAAAATGATTTTGTGAACAAGCAGGTAAACAAGGGGGAATTGTGTTAGACCGACCAGTTGGGTGACCAAGCACCAACACGGAGTTTCATAGCCATCGGTCATATATGCGCATATGCACACCTTGCTAAGCCTTTAAAAATGGCTGAAGCCGGGGACAATTATCCCCATCTGCATGATTGCACAACAGTGATCAGACATCCAGAGAGGCGCACCGAACCCGTAGAGAACTGTTTGAACTGGACTTAACCAGGTACCTATTTAATCCAATTCAAGCACAGATGCCCACGGGATGCCGACTCCTCAGTAACGGGGGGCAGATGTTGACGTCTGAACATGCATTTTTAATCCATCAGTTATTAGTACCGAAGCCGGATCAAAATGCATGTCTGACCGCACCCCTCATTAACAAGGTGCAGTACATGAGGAGCAAACTTTTGGATGTATGCTGTCAAATGATTGCCAAAATGCTTTGCATTGGAAGTAACCTGTAGCTGTAAGTTTTGTAACAGTGTTTACTGTGCAGCAGCAAAGGGTGAGGCTGCTGGGCAGAAATCAGTGTCAATATGTCCCTTTATCTAGGGCATATTGATTGGCCTTGAATGTGTTTGTTCTTGGTGTATTACTGTAGCGGCAATATCCCATATTTCTGAATGTATCCAGATACCAGAGAGAGTAGTGGAGGGCTAACAAGGGAAGAATATCGGCAAAGGCACTTTTTCTGTTTGATGTTAAGGAGTACGGGGTTAAGTCAGAAGATTCAGATTCAAAAATAATGTGCCCTTTTGGACTCACAGTGTCTTTATGTATTTGTTTACTGACTGACTTCCTTTATAGTCTTATGACAGGGAACCAAGATGGATTACTTTGTACGTGACTCCATTTCAGAGTAGTGTGAGAATCCCCAGTATCTCTGATAAAGCCGTCCTTGACAAATCCCAGGCACCAAGGTGCAGTGGTGACTGTAAATTCGCTGCCGGCAACTGGAGCTGCAGGGCTGGGATCCCCTGCTGCTGTCGAAGCCTTCCGGAGGGCCGCAGCCAGAGCAGGCAAAAGAGGAGAGTGGCAGAGCCCAAGCACTGCTAAACCAGTAAATACAGCCTGACCACACCTTTCAGAGGGGGGAACTCCTCCAGATGCTTCCGAGTGGCCTATTGCAGCAAAACCTCCAGCTCCTCTCCAGCTGGCATCACTCTCTCACATGTGCACATCTGCACTGAGGCAGCCAAGGCTGCCTCCCCTTCTCTGGCTGCTCTGGTTTTGGTGGGAGGCTGTGAGGATGCTGGTTGCCTGGTAACTCCCAGGCACTCACAAGGCCTCCGTTACAGACTTCTCTGTGAAGTACACAGACATCTCTGGGGTGGGAGGGAGCAGGTGAATGGAGCAGACTTTTGAACTAATATGAGCTTTTCCTCCACCTTTCCATAGTGCAAGAAGTCAAACCGATATACGTTTATTTAATTATTATATTTTTACCCACCCTTCAGCCAAGGAGCTCAGGCATATACAACTCTCTTCATCCTCATTGTATCCTTGCAGTACCCTTGTGAGATTAGTTGGGCTGAGACTGATACAAGGTCAACTGGTAGCTCTGCCTGTGATGGGAGTTAAATGATCCCAAGCCTCCCCAGTCCAAGTTGTGCATTCCGCTCCTCTTCCTCGCTCACTGCCGTCTCAGCCACTGTTCACTGTCAGAATAACTGCCAAAATGGCTGTCTCTCCTGACGAAGACCCTGCTTGGCTCCTGTGGGACTAACTTTCTCTTCAGTGGCTGTTGCTAGGCAACCATGCTTGGCTCTGTCAGTAAAAAGGCAAAGGTAGGGGGCGCTTTCTAGGCCTTTGTGGGGAACTAGGGTTGCCAGCTCCAGGTTGGGACATTCCTGAATATTCTGTGGTGGAGTCTATAGAAGACAGAGTTTGGGGAGGGGAGAGGCCTCAGCTGAATAGAATGCCATAGAGCCCACCCTCTAAAGCAGTTATTTTCTCCAGGGGGGAGAGATCTGTTGTCTGGAGTTCAGTTGTGATACCCGGTGATCTTCAGGCTCCACCTGGAGGTTGGCTACCCTAGGCGTGGTAGTTAGTGCTTCAGAACAGGATCTGCCAGACCCACATTCTTGCTGTGGAAGTGAAGTGGGTGATTTCGGACCAGTCACAGACTTTCAGCCTAACCTACCTCACAGGGTTGTTGTGGAGATCAAAAGGGGAGAGGAGAATGGTGTAAGCTGCTTTGGTCTCCGCTATGGAGAAAGACTGTACTTTTCCTCCTGGGGAACCATTGCTGCCAATCTCCAGGAGAGACCGGAGTTCACTCAGAATTAAAACTGCTCTCCAGATGGCAGAGATCAGCTCCCCTGGAAAAACGGCTGCATTGCAGGGTGGACTCTGTGTCATTATACCCTGCTAAGGTTGCTTCCCTCCTGCTTGGGTCCCCACTGTGGAGAAAGACTGTAGTTTTCCTAGGTAAAGGGGGAAGAGATGGAAACCTGAGGTCAGAGGGGCAGGTAATGGTGCGTTGATGGTTGGCTGGGAAGGAAATAGGGTTGCCACCTCCAGGTTGGGAAATTCCTGGAGATTTGAGGGGTGGAGCCAGGAGAGAGTGGAGTTTGAGGAGGGGGTGGGACAGGTACAAAGCCATAGACTCCACCCTCCAAACCGGCCATTTCCTCATGGGGAACCATTGTTGCCAATCTCCAGGGAGGACTGGAGATCACTCAGAATTATAACTGCTCTTCAGATGGCAGAGATCAGTTCCCCTGGAGAAAATGGTAAGCTCTGTGTCATTATACCCTGCTGAGGTCACCATGGCAAATTGATGCTGAGTGTCCAAGGCCAGGGTACCCCCCCCCAGCTTCATTCTTTCCACAATGAGCCTTATTCCTAGTAATAATGAATATTCTCAGTGATTTCCTGTGTAGTCCAAAATCCTAACACTATAATGGAGGAGGTTTGGTTTTTTTAAAACCAAGGTAAATGCGAGGCAGCCCAGAATAGCCTAATCTTGTCAAATCTCAGAAGCTAAGCAGGGTTGGCCCTGGCTAGTATTTGGATGGGAGACCTCCAAGGAATACCAGGGTCGTGATGTAAAGGCAGGCAATGGCAAACCACCTCTGAAGGTCTCTTGCCTCGAAAACCCTACAAGGTCACCATAAATCAGCTGTAATTTTATGGCAACCCCCACCCCCACCCCCCGACAAAATGAGAAGCATTGAGCTTATCATTCAGGGTAAGCCTGTATTACACTTTAAATCAGTTTTTTTTATAACTGTATATGCCCCCTTTTCAGAGACCTGCTTGATTTGGTTCACATGATGATGAAAATATTGTATTTGTTACCTAATAAGTCTGGCTTCTGAATGTTTGGGCTAGATCCAAAGTAAAATGGTCAAGGCCTGTAATAAAGCTACCTATACATCTGCAGCTATATATGTTTTCTTTGGAATATTTCTTTATTTAACCTACTGTATTACTGTACTGCTTTAAAAAAAACTTAACAAAAATAATGTAAGCCTCAGTAGTAAAATAGATCTTCAGATAGCAGATTCTGAAAAAAAACATAGTTTCTGGTTTGAATAAACTAAATGTCTCATTTCCGAAAGAATTACAGGCATACTTTTCTCGTATTTGGTTTCCTTTACTTGGATCATCTATTATTTTATTCTTTATTACATTTATATCCAATACTTGTCCATCGGGACAGTGTGCATAGGGCTTCCATCTGTGTACTGATCAGATCCCGTACCTATTTGGCTTTGGCTTCGGCAAGGTTTGCGGTATCGCATGTGTTCCAACAATACCCTGGGAATCAAGGCATTTAGGAAGCATAGTGCTGCTTGTCAGTAGTTAATGGATTTTAACAGTGTGAATTGTTAGGTGTCTTGTGGAGATAGGGAGAGAGAACAAGCATTTCATGTTTTTTCCTCCAACAATTCATCCCATGTATGGGAGAGAGGGCGGAATAAGCATTCTGTCTCCCCATCAGGAGATTGTACAGTGAAGGTGCATATTACTCTACGTTTAGATGAGACTTGAGAAAAACATCTAAAGCTACTGTGACATGTGATTAGCAGTAGTCCTACTAGATGCTGGTTTTAATTTTAAGAGGGCGGATGTGGCAGGGCGCTTAGGCTAGGACTGGGGAGAGTCAAGGTACAATTCCTGCTTAGCCATGAAGTCAGTATTACCTTTGGCAGAGGGAGAGTGACTGGCCCAAATACCTCACAGGCTTGGTGAGCTCCCTGGAAGAAGAACAGGATTAATTGCTTCTAAAAACCAACATCTGATGCCAGAAATGCTTGATGTGAAAAATTTCAATACATTTAGCAAAATCTCCAAACACCAACAAAAAGGAACAAATCATTTGTTGGCTGAGGGGTTTTTTTTTGGGGGGGGGGGATTCTGTTTGCTTTAAGCAGTGTGTCCATCTAATAATGTGCACTGGTGACATTTATTAAGTAGACTGAAATTCTCTGCTTATAATGCAGTTCAGCTAGCTTAATTAAAAAGCCTGCCAGGTTTTAAATGTTAACTGAAATGTCTTTGTGTTTTGTTTCAGAATCTTTTGCAAATATAACATATTGAAAAGTCCTAGCTTTCAGTGTTTGGATCCTGAATTGTGTGCCAAAGGTAAGATTCTCTGATCCTGTTAGTTGGAGGTTATTATTGTCTTCTAATGATTTTTATTGGTATAATTGCCGTTTGCCTCCAGTCGTGTGTCTCCTGTAACTTTTTGTTGTACTTGCAGAGCTAAAACTGCAGCATTAATGGTAATGGCATCAATGGCTACAGCATCAACAGTAAACTCAGAATAGTTTCCGTTAATTTGTTCGTGTATCTTTAAAACACACATCTATGAGTCATATGTTACAGTAGCTTGTTACCTTTTTCTTAGGTTGCTCATTCAGGTGCAGTCCAACTTTTTTCAGCGTAGTTCATTGACAGAGCTCCAGTGTGCTGTTTATTTTAGGGGGGGGCACTTCTGCTCAGAGAGAACTGAATTATTTTTGCTGGTTTCTCCTTCCCACTGTAGCTCTCTGTATTACCATTTCATCCTGTTTCCACTGGAGTCCAGCTTTCTAAAAAAGATTTTGGGAAGTCCAGGAGACTGTAGTATGAAGAGAAATGTGAAAAATGCATTGCATGAGCAGGGTTCTGCTCACTGTTTCTCCAAATGATTCTGTTTTCCCCTGGGTAAATGGTATGGAAGTGACAGTATTTTAGGTACTATTTTCTAACTTTCAAAATAGGTTTCTTGCATGGATGAACAACCAGCGGTCCACCAGGACCCAAGGATAACCTCCACCACAGATATTCTTCAAGGCAAAGTGCTCTTCAACCTCCTTAATACAGTTTCTGGAACTGTACTTCTCTATTTGCATACTTCAGCTGGTTATTCTGAGGTACAAGACAGGAGCTTGTTAATTAGGGGTTCTGCAGTTTTCCCCCTGCGCCACTCCTGTCTTTGGCTTTCCCTTCTTCTCTCCACTGGCAGCCTCTCTCCAGGAAAAGTTTGCCCAAGTTGTAAAGGGGTCACAGTGGCCATGAGGGCTGTGCTCCATTCTCTTGATTTTCTTGATCCATTCCATATTTTATGTCAAACTTTACAAAACTCCACCTGCAAGAAAAGCCATGTGGGTTATCCTCAGAAGCCATTAATAGGAAGAGCAAAAGGTAGATTCTACTCTAAAATGAATTTTGTTTTTGGAAGACATTGGTGATATAGCTACATCTGGTTGCCTGGAAAAGAATTGTCCCTGTGCGGCAGCTGTGTCATGGGGCTATAAAAGATAACACGTGTGAAAGCCTACTCTGTGTTTGTGTGTGCAGCAAATTCCAATGGATGGTTTGGCAGTTGGTCAGACTGAACATCAATAGATAGGTGTTACATCTGCAAGTAGAGATTATGAGGCAATCCGAACTCACTGGAGTTCAGGCATCCCTTTGCACTCCTATACGAACAGCAGCAGAGACTATCGGTTCTCGCTCTGAAGGGGAGGGTATCTTTTAGCAATGCCCATCAAGAAGGAGGGACCAAAACTTGAACTGTCTGTCACCAGGGTGGGAGTCACCCATTAATTCAATTTGTTTCCTGTCTTAGCCAGGGAGTGCAGGCTTTTCATAGGAGCTGTGAGGCTCAGGCTCCTCTAGGCTACACTCTCTTTCTCCCTCTGAGGAGCAGCTTGGCTGAGGCAGTTGAAAGACAGCAAGACAACAAAGATTTGGATGGCTTTCTATCCATGGACAATGGGAACCCCCTGCTCTTCCAGACCAGGAGGCTGGGAACTCTTCCCTCCTCAGCTGGGCTAGCCAAGCGCTGCACAGCCACTGAGAGCCAGAAGTGCTCTGGAGCCACACAACACAGCCGTAAGCGAGAGGACACCATTTTGCTGACAACCAGGAAATCTTCCCATGGTGTGGAAGAGGGTGGCCTCTGAGACTCATCCTCCCAAAGGTCAATGGAGCAATGGAGTGGGGTGGTGGTGGGGAATGAACCCTTTTCTGACTGTCCTCCGGAAGTGTCTGGATGGCTAAGACAAGCAGTGCTAGAGGAATTTTAAACTCATGCAAAAAATGAAATCTCTCCCACCAACAGGGCAGAAAAAGGCACGGCTTCAGTCCCCCAGCTGTGTCACCTTCTCCTTCTTCCAATAGATAATCCTGGAGGGGAGTGAAAGATGCGTATTTGGAATGGAGATGGGGCCCACCACAAAAGGGCCCACAAAGGCAGCACAGACGACAGTTCCATAGCGCACACATTCCCCATGGGAGAGGTAATTGGGCTCTGCCTCTTGAGGCTCTGGGGCCGCAGACATCCCTTCTGATCAAGAATGAGGAGAAGTCTCAGTAAGAAGCAGTAGTTTTTGAACAGCCTAGATGCCTTTTTAAATAGCAACATTATCAGGGGCTGCTAGCCAAAGCTATAGTGGCCCTGGATCTCTTGGAGCCTGGTGTGTAAAGGGAAGAGGAAAAGAGCCCTAAAGCAAACCCAAAGGGAACTAAGGCTCCCCCCCCCCCCCCAGGTTACCAGAAATAGAGAGGTTCGTATCCTCTCCGGAATTTTTTGAACACCAAATGAAGGAATTGTGGACTTAAACTGTCTCTCTAATAAGCAAAATCCCAACCAAGCCAAAAGACACTACTCTCTGCCTAATCAAGCAATTGATCTTTTTCAGGTACCTTTAGTAGATAACCTCAGTAGTGGTGCTCTTATGAGGGGAGTCTAGTCACTAAGGACAGCAAAGGATCACTACTCAATTGGATTGTAAGTTGGACTGTGCCCTTAGAAAGTCGCATAAGCCCTTGGCCTGTGGCCATTTTGTTGTTCAGTCACACAGTCGAGTCCGACTCTTCGCGACCCCATGGACCAGATTACGCCAGGCCTTCCTGTCTTCCGCCGTCCTCTGAAGTTTACTCAATTTCATGTTCGTCGCATCTGTGACACTGTCTAACCATCTCATCCTTTGCCGTCCCCGTCTTCTTTGACCTTCAGTCTTTTCCAGCATCAGGGTCTTCTCCAGTGAGTGCTCCCTTCTCATTTGGTGGCCATTAGGGCCTTGAAAAAAACCAGGAGGGGAAAAAACCTCCGAAAGAGCAATGATGTGATGAGAAGAAAATTATTTTATTCAGTTATATTGGTCATGCACCTTTTGCATGTGCTTCTTCAGGAGGATCAGCAAAATTGTATAACGGAAGCAGTTCTTTCTGAAGTTCTTTTACTGTGAGAAGTGTGATTACTGCTTTATGTATTCATTTTTACAAATCCCCCCTGAAGAAGCATATCCAAAACACATAGGGGTTGTATAACTAAAATGAAATTCCTGACACCTGGAACGATTATTCCCAGGGTTGTGGGACCCTACAAGTCAGGAGGCTGCAGTAGGGAGGGGAAAGTGACAAAATCACCTCAGTTCATCTGTGCTGATGGAAGGCGATGGAGAAGGAGAAGGAGGGAATGATTTCCCCTCTTCTCCAGGAGATGCAGGAAACAGCCATAGTACTTTGTGGATCACTGGATGCATTCCAGTAGATGTGGAGCATATATTAAAGCTTGGATTATTCAATGGCTGCTTCTGTTTTGCAATTTTAACTGTACTCTTTTGTACCTGGAGACTGCTGTCCTATAATATATGTAAAATTATTGAGTTCATCATGTCGTTGACTTCTCGTCAAGATGTATTTGGTCGCATGTCCATTGATTTTGGGCTTTGCTAATGAGAGTAGCAGTAAGCGTCTGTTGTAGCCTGATCATTTATCTTCATTGTGCCACATAATTCCAGTCAACGAAAGAATATGTTGATTTATAACATTGCCATTATTAAGAGGGATAAAGTAATTACTTTAATGTAATTTTAAGTAATCCAGTTTCCATTGCATGGTAAATATTTTTAGAAAACAATTGCATGTGTATCTACAGCTAAAAAAATGAAAGTTTTGTTCACTGCCCCGTCACTATTGCAGCTAACAAATTCAGAATAGCACAGCAAACATTTTAGTAGTTTAATGTTAATTGTGTTGTCTTTGTGGGTTAATACTTGACATAATCTGTTATTGTATTTATTACATTTTTACCCTGCCCTCTCTCCAGTAAGCTCAGGACATCTTGTGTGGCTTTCTCTCCTCCTCCATTATATCCCCACAGCAACCCGATGAGTTGGTTGGGCTGAGCGGTTGGCCCAGGGTCACCTAGTGAGTCTCATGGCCAGTGGAGATTTGAATCTGATTTCCAGGTCCCCATCCAGCACTGTAAGCACTGTGCTTTTCTGGCTACATCATGGTACTGGAAGTAAACATTTGGGACCAAATAAGTACTATCACAGTCCAATTAGGAAGTGGTTTTTAAATTGTCTTGCGGGATCAGAGACAATTATAAAGACCAGGTGCTATTGGCAGAAAGCAATATTCTGAGTTCAAAATGGGGAGGGAACTGGGAATAACTTGACATGCTGGAGAAACCAAGCTAGAGTGGGAAGCCAAGAATTCAAAGGAAAATGTCCAGGATCAGGTCAAGTGACTACATGACAGATCTTTGAGCAGTCATATTTCTAAAAGGAAGAAACAATTGTAGTCTTCTGTTCTTTGTCCAATACTGTGATACTGTTCTGTTCTTTAACACATGGAGGAAACTTTGCTATTGTGTGAGCTCCTAAGATACTATGGAACATTAACTAGCCTCAGTAGACTTGAATACGGACCTGTAACCCCGAAAAGTACCTAGAAATGATAGTTTTTCCTCTCTGGTGACCACAGACTTCCCAAAAATAGAGAAGTGGGAAGTGTTTATGGAAGCAGTTACTGTGCTTTTCTCCTCAGAATGAGATGTGCAAGTAGCTGGTAAAAGGGAAGAAACAGGAGCTTTCTGGCAAAAATGGATGCAGGATGTTCTGAGTTCTGGTCCAGTGCCAGTGGTGGTCTGTAGCTACCAGCTGTGGATGAAGCGCAGATGGCTCAGACGGCTTTCTGTTTGTTTAAAGGAAGTTCATTTTGATAAAATGGTGATTCTGCTGTGGTCATCGCCACTTTATGAAGCACATGGTTTCTCAGGAAGTATCTGAAACAAAATGGAAAAACTGTGTCTCTCTGCTATGTAGAATGGTTCATATCTGTTGAATGGTTGCTGGTAGTAACAT